ATATTAACATGATTAATGAACATGTAATGTGTAATAAAAGTGTGCCCTATTAATTAACAAAATTAATGAATGTGTAATGAAAGTGTACCGTATTAATTAACAAAATTAATGAATGCGTAATAAAAGTGTTCCCTATTAATTAACAAGATTTATGAATGTGTAATAAAAGTGTGCCATATTAATTAACAAAATTAATGAATGTGTAATAAAAGTGTACCCTATTAATTAACAAGATTAATGAATGTGTAATAAAAGTGTGCCCTATTAATTAACAAGATTAATGAATGTGTAATAAAAGTATACCCTATTAACTTACAAGATTAATGAATGTGTAATAAAAGTGTGCCCTATTAATTAACAAAATTAATGAATGTGTAATAAAAGTGTGCCCTATTAATTTCTATGAAAGCATGTTTAATTAGAAAGTTTAAAAAGGCTTTTTAACATCCGTGATAATAACTAAACTGTTATAATGATTATGAAAAAAAAAAGTAACCAGTTATTCAAAATATATGTCATTCGATCCCTGTTAGAGACTAACTAATTGCATGCTAAACCTATATGAAAAAGCATGTTAATTTTATCTGTTTTTTAGTGTTTGTGCAGAGATACTCATGGGCTATCTGCACTAGTCATTCCTAATTTTCAATCGACAGACTAAACGGAAGGCAGCTAGTCAATTACCCCTGCTACCAACCCTTGTCTGACCGAATAATGGGATGCGATTGTCACCTGTATAATTGACTCAACCCCCTAACGTGCAGAGCAAGATTTTATTTGCAATAGCAGGATGCAAATAATGGACCTGCAGATTCACAGTTTAACCACTGGACCACATTCAGCTCTGTGTGTTCAGACTATAGGCTCAAGATTCCGTGTAATGTACCAGAAAAGTGTGTGGTTAAACAACAGATTGTTGTGAGACTTAATATTTATTGTATTTATATTCTGCTCATTTCATTCTATAATCACATAATTATTAAATACAAACAGTATGATTTCCAACCCTATATCAAATTAATAATAAATATATTTTCACAGAAATATTCAGGGTTAATTTTAATTACAATTTACTTAATGTAAACAAAATTACAATACTTGAATTTTTTTTTTGAAAAGTAAAAACTTACTTAATATAATTTGCCTTTTTATCATCTTTCCAATCCTTATTTAGTTGATGGATCTTGCAAGCTACATAGCGCTGCTCCTTAAGGTCAAATGCCTGTGGATAAATACATAAATCCTATATGTTTTAGCAATAAGAAGTACAATTAAAAATTGGTTTAAAGATTTTTTCATTTCAAAAAATAGAATAACATGTGTTAATAAAAGTAAAAAGGGCTCAAAACAGGTTGACTGATTTTACAAGGAGAGATACTGTACATTTCAAAACATATTACATAACTTATGCTTAGCTCTTGTTTGTTTGAAGTTAACCACAAAGCTACACAATGGGCTATCTGTACTCTGCCCACCATGGGTACCAAAACCCGGTTTCTAGCGTTTAAAGTCCACAGACGTACCACTGTGCCACTGGGGGCATGCTTAGCTCTAACAGACTAACGTAAAATATTTTAAATATACAAGCACACACACACACATATATATATGTATATATATATACAAAACACTGAATTTAGGTTTAATTTACATTTGATTGTATACCAAATCATCTATGTACAACTAAAGGATTTTGCAGCCTCTATTAAACATTATTACCTGTCATCTGATCTACATCAAACAAGAATACTTTCAAGTAAGTTATTTGTATTTACGAAAATCAACTACCTTATTAACATGCCACACTAACTTTTAACAAAATATGTTATTCTTAACTGATGAAGTTTCCAAGTAAATCACACTGTTACTGAGGCAGTTTGCAAATTTATTCATATACTACCAAATATTATGTATTTCTTCTTAAAAATCTAAATACTCACCTTATGCACTTCACTAAATCCACCTTTTCCAAGTAGAGTCAGAAGAAGATACCTTTCATTCAGTACTGTGTGATTGTTAAACCTGAAGAAATGTACATTAAAATATTACTTGCCATACAGTATAATTATCACAAAACTGTTTGTTTGTTTTGAATTTTGTGCAAAGCTACATGAGGGCTATCTGTGCTAGCTGTCCCTAATTTAGAGGGAAAGCAGCTAGTCATCACCACCCACCGCCAACTCTTGGGCTACTCTTTTACCAACGAATAGTGGGATTGACCATC